TGCACGGCTGAGGGGAGAGGCGGGGGAAAAGCCTCGGTATTTGCTTGGAATACGGCGTAATGGTCCGTATCCAAGCCTGCTGCGCGGGGGAGGGTGTCTAGCACCAAGGTGCGCCCCCGGGTGGGAGCGTCCTGATGGAAAAGAGTTCAGAACACCGAAGTTTAACCTTGGGATCGGGACGTTTTCCAGCCTGGCACAGGCTGGAAAGCACTGTGACTCCCCTGACCCGAGGGGAAGGGGCAGTGCTGGAGGAAGCACAAAGGACAGGAGTGGTTTCAAAACGGGGGGAACTGCCAAAAGTCTGGCCTAAGGGAGGCTGAGACTCTGTCCCGGTGGAGGTATGGATGTCCCTGAGGACAATGGTGGGTAAGATGAGGAAATTCCATCTGGATAGACCCCAAAATGACTTTGGAGTATGAAAAGATGGAGGAATTATTCCCAGCCCTGCTCTTCCTCTGGACATGACCTACAGATGTTGACCTGTGCTGAGGAATGAGCTGGATCATGATTTAGGTGATTCTCTGATCTACGGACCCAGCTGGGCCACCCAGAGAAGTGCAATTCCTCGGCATACATGAGGTTTTCTTTTCACCCTCTTCTACTGCTGTGCAACTATCACATCCATCCTTAGATACTGTAAATAAACTCTTGATCTTAGATTTAGCTTAATCTGACTTAAGAGTAGTTTGGGATATGGGAAGGCACTGTCGTGCTGCTGACTCTCACAACACTCACATTCTATTTTTCAGTGTATCCAATACTGGTCAAGATTCGCCTTTATTTAGACAGAGGGGCAGCATGAAACATGATGCTACAAGAGAATTGCATAAAGAAGTGTGCATTCTGGTGGCTGGTGTTAGCCAAAACCCTTTGGCACACAGTGGAAAGTGCCTGGAGCCTTGGAAGAGTAATTTAGGATTTATGCAAACACCCTAACTGGCTCTGTTTATCCTCTATTGGAGCAAAAAGGGAGATGAGCAAAGAACAGAAGCATTTCCAAATCACAGGGCAGCAGCCAATGGCTAGTAGTAGAAGAGCTAAGATTTATTTCATGGGTTGTGTATCCCTCAGGACAGGGCTTTTGGTAGGGAGACTGAATCTGAATAAAGTAGGAAAGAACAGACTGAACCTAACTACATACATTTAATCAATATACATTTTTTCAATTCCTAGAAGTGACCAGACTGGGATAAAAAATGGACAATACTGTCTCTGTGAAAGACAGCAGTGTTTGTGTTGTCTTAACTCCTCTTGTTTTTCATTTCACAATGAGGAAGTCACGCTATCAGGAAACCTACTGTTGTATAAGAACAGAAAGTGCCTGCCTTCTTTCTTCTCAAGTCAGAAAAGTCACGTGACTTTCGAAGCTGAAGTTTCAGCAAAAAAAACCCAACAAACCCAAACATTTTCCACCTTGACTGTTTTTGAAAGTCCTACTTTAACTTACTCAGAAATATGCTTATACCATGTTACCCCAGTTAATACAGTTCATTGGATTTATCTTTCAAAGTCACAAGACAAAAGGAAAAAATAATAAAACCCCCTTTAAATATAAAAAATAATTTTCTAAGCAATAGGAAATGCAGAGAACTAAGAAGGAAAGAAAGAGAAAGAAAGAAAGAAAGAAAGAAAGAAAGAAAAAGAAAGAAAGAAGAGAAAAATACCTAATTAAGATATCTAGATCTCAGAGACTATGGTGCAATTATTTAGTTACATATTAATAGAGGTATTTTTCCAGAATAAGTAAGATTAATAAGAATATTTTACAAAGAGTTTCTAAAAGAACTCAGTTTTACGAATTAATCAGATTGATGGGGCTTGTATTTTACAGCTTCTTCCTTTTATCTCAGGTCTGTTTGTCATTGAGCAAGTTTTGTCTCATCTTGACATAGCTGAAGTCAGTGATGAAATCTCTAATGACAGGCACAGGGCTTGGATTTTATCCTTGAGTGGTCACAACCTGTTCATCTGCCCTTCTCTCTAAGGCAATGAATAGTGGCAAGTCTCCTGAAAAGGATCAAGGTTTTCTCAAATTATGCAAGTAGGTATGCTGGCAGGTGGTTAGAAAATGTGTTTAAGGTAAACCAGTGTTGAAATAACCTGTTATAATGAAATAGGCACTGAAGTCTGGATTAGCTCACTTTTCTGAACCAGCCAGCGGCTTCTTCCATGCAGAACCTGCCAAGTGTGAATCCATCAGCATTTGCACCAGGAGGGTTGGACTTTGGTCTTTGAGAAGTAGAATGGTTAGAATTACGTGAAACGAGCATGCACGTAATTCCCATTATTCTCACTGCATCTTCTCCCTAAATATTACTTGTAAGAGAAGAACAGAACATTTTGTGCAAAATATCAAGCAGCACCTAATTTTTCAGCATGCAACAGGAACTGCTGTTAATAAAAGCACACAAAGTGTTATGTAGTGACTGAGACATGTTTTCCCCAGATCCTCTCCAGAGATGGAGGTCATGTCTAGTCTGAAGCTACCTGAAATAGCCAAGACAGTTCCTTCAGATCTTTCCACAGCAATGCAATGGAACAATTTATGCAGAGTTATGGGACCTCATCCATACTTGTACCAAAAGCATGTTTTTATTTGTGTCTAATTTTCTAACGTTCTTTTTTCTCAGAGGCTGGACAGAAAGGCTCAAAGTGGGCACCAGTTTTCTTTCTTTACTGTCCAACTAATCAAACTCCCTTTACTTCTCCTATTTTAATTTCTGATTTCCTCCTTCGCTAGGAAGATTCCTTGAATTCCTGCATGAATGCCTCTCTCATGCCTCAAAGGTTCTCTGTTTGTAGTAAGAGAGGAAGGAGAAAAACTCCTTATTCCACGTTAGAATGCAGTGAGTTAATAATTTTTGATTGCACTATTAAATATTTTCAAGTATTTCAATCCAAATTGTATCTCCTGTCAAATTTCTGGAGCAAAATACAGAAGATGCAATTAATATTCTGTATTGACCTGTAATTTTTCCAGATTAGTCTTTGGATGACATTCAGGATTCTCTTAGCATTTTCAACTGAATATTTTCTTCCTCATACTTAGACCTTGCATTGATATTTGTGAGTTCATAGTTGCTTCCAGATATTGTTTAAAGTAACTTCAAATTACAGTTTGTCAACACTAGGTTGTACATAGGAAAAATATCAATGTCTATGAGAATAGTACAGAATACTAAATAAATACTGCAGGAGCACTGCTCAGAATTCAGGGCAAATGCAAAATTAACAGTTTCTCATAATAAAGCTACATGAATTTCCATATGCTGGAAATAAAAGGACCATAATTTTCCATTATTATCTTTGAAGACATATTTTAGGTCATTAGAACCCTATTCCTGTAAGCTAATACATCTCATCTGTCATTTGTAATTTTGCACTTTAATGATTTTGGGATTTAGACATAACTAATTATCTGCCTGCATCCACAAATCACTTATCTCGTGTGTGTAAATAATTTCCTTAATACTAATGGGGGTTCTCACAATGAGCAGGTGGTTTTCTTATGTGTCACAACCAGAGTTTTGTCTTTGGCACAGTCTTCTGTACTGCCCAGAGGGGATTCTTTTCATGGCATCTTGATTTTTGGACCTTCAGCACACATGCATAACAGGTTTCCGCATTTTTTCCCATGAGAGATGAATGAGAAGTTTTGCAATAGCACTGTCAGCTTTTTCACAGAATCACAGAATGGCTTGGGTTGGAAGGGATCTTAAAGACCATCCAGTTTCAACCTCCTGCCGTGGGCAGGGACACCTTTCACTAGACCAGGTTTCTCCAAGCCCCATCCATCCTGGCCTTGAAAACTTTTCTCTGCAGACCCTCAGAGCTGGTCTATGCATGGTCATGTCACAAGAGGCGTGTGGCTGGCTGGGCTGGCAAATACAAGGGCTGTAGCTGGGGACTAGACTTGTACAATGTTTGGGGCGTGGGCTGGCTGAGAGGAGCCTTTCCCCTATCCTGCCATGCCTGCAACTCTCCCACTTGCTGCCTCCTCCAGGGGCGAGGTTCACCCGCCAGGCCCCTCTCCTGTGTGCATGGTTATGCAGTCATGAAACAGCAGGGAACTGCTGGCACCACATCCACCACGGAAAAGCCATGCTAGTAGCAAGGGTCGGTTCCAGGTGGGTTTCACTCGGTGTCCAAGGCACAAAACATCAGTCACTTGGTCTTTTGAAACACCAATCAATTCAAAACTGCAATCTATCGCAAGTCTCATATAAAAAAGACACCAACCCAATTTTTTCAATTAGTTTTGTTTATTTAGAAGCAATTTATCAAAAAGAAGGTGACAGTGAAAAGAGTGATCAGGTGTTACTCTTTCAAGCAATGAGTAATTGGGTTAATGTACTTTCACTGTTTGCTAGAACATGTTTTCTTGTGCCCTCATACAGCCTCGGTGGTGCCTTTGGTAAGTCTTTGGCAAGGTGTGCTTAGCAACTTCATCGCTAACTCCTGACTCCGGTATAGATCCAAGTCCCTGGGAGGTGCGGACACGGTTTCAGCGGGCTCCCAGGTCTGGTCCTCACGGTCTCTGTGCAGAGCCGGGCCTGCCCCTCTGCCCGTGCACCCTGGTGTAGGCCCGAGGCCATCTCTTCTCCAAGGTTCTTCAGCTCTCAGGAACAGAAACAATTCTGACGAGTTAAATTTGTTGATTATTCGCCTGTGCAAAGCGCACAGCTCATTTAACGCGGCTGTGTTTTCTTAAATCCTTTTCTGCCCAGGAAATTCCGAGGCTCTCGATTACCTCCCTAGCAGTGCCCCCAAGTGACAGGCCGGGGCAGGAGGCCGCGTCCTCCCGCGGCCGTGTGACAGGAGCCCGCCCGGCCCCGGGCCCGCCCTTCTCACGGCACAGGGAAAAAAAAGAGCATTAAAATTAAAAAAAAATTAAAATCACACTGTTGATTGAATACAAGCCCCACACAGGGCCCGCCCGCTGACAAACGGTGTCCGGCCCAACCTCCGCCCCCGGGAGCGGCCGCGCTGCGCGGGCACCGGGACAGGGGGAGGCCGGGCCGGGGGCGGGCAGGGCGAGGGCTGCCGGCTGCGAGCGGCAGGAGCACGCCCGGGGCCCGTCCGTGCCCGGCGAGCCGCTGGCGCTGGAGGACCGCGTGCCTGGGGCAGGCGTGGCCCCGCTGTGAGGGCTCCGGCCCCGGCGAGCACCATGCTGCCCTCCCGGTAAGGCGCCCCCGAGCCCCCTGCCCCTGGCCCGGGTGGGGAGTAGCGGCCGGGGGGGAGCCGGCCCTGAGGGGCGGAGGCGGCGGTGCCCCGGCGGGCTCGGGGTGCCCTGGGCAGCCGCCGCCGAGAGGCCCCGGGGCGCGGCCGGGGCGGGGCACCCGAAACGCCAGCGGCGCCTGGGCCGGTCCGGGGCACCGGGCGGGAGGGCAGTCCCGGGGACCGCGGGTGGAGGGGACGGCGTTTGCGGGCCCTGCCGGGAGACACGAATCCAGAGGCTCCAGCAGTTACGGAGGCGTTGTCACCATTGCCATTCACGTCATCTCTGGTGCATACGACACTGCTGGATTCCGAGGGGATTTTGTGTGTGTGATCCTAAGTACTTCTGGTATACATGCAGATAGATATGGCCCTGCTTTTCTGCTGGTGCCTGAGGACCTGCCACCTTTTCTTTTTTGAGGTGAAACCCTAGTCCCAGCTGAAGAAAATTAAGGGACTAGTAATCCATGTTCCCTGTCAGGATGATACTGTGAACTATCACAAGGGCTTTTACACCTGCCGATCCTCTGTGTCTTTTTGTGTTACCGCAGTTTTGCTTGCTGGAGGAATAGTAGTGACCACTACCTGGTAGAACACTTACTGAATTGTGAGTGAATTACATTCTCTGTAGGGTTTCAGGGTTGTTCCTTCTTGCTTAATGTCTAAGGGATTATATGCTGCACTTTAGGCTTGTCCTGAATTACTCCAGTACTAAGCCATGGAGGAGAAGACTGGGCTTAGCTCAGTGAGGCTGCTTGGGAGACCTTGGGAAATCCTTCTTGGGATATTTCTCCTTCCACTGCTGTGCATAGCAGCAAAGTGTATGGGTAGGGTCATGGATGATTTCCTAGATGCACGTGGACCTTGTCTGTGTTAAGATGCTACAGGGTAGAAGCTAGTGTTGGGTCTAAGCTGGTTGTCCCAGGGCATCTGAATAGTCAGTGAAGAGATGGATTACTGCCAGTGAATCATCCTTCCTTCCTGTTTTCAGATAAGGATAGGTATCAGCTGGAATTTCAACTATCTTGGAACTGTTGTATTGATTGTATCTAGTTCTAAAAATTAACCTGAAAATAAGGAGTGCTGTTTCTGAAGTAATCAGCATCATTCCAAAATTAAATGCTAAATTATTTTCATGGTATTATTTTTAATGACACTAAATTCTTCTGCTCTACCTGTAGGTTGTGCATCATGAGGAAGCTTCCTTCTGTTCTGGCTAGGACACTCACTTCTAGGACCACTGGCTCCCCAGTGCTTCTGGACATGTTTGAAGGTAAAGTAATTGGCTGTACTCCAGAAGATTTAGCGGTGTTTCTAAGGAATTTATTCTTTCAGGTGGTGTCCCTGCATGAATTAATACCATTTGGATAATGAGAATGGTCTTGGCTGTTGCCTCATGGTATAAGTATTTAGGAAGCAGAAGAAAGTCTCTGTTTATTTGGGGATTAATGGCAGAAGTATAATCACTGAAGTTGCAATTTAAGGTCTTGTCTGGCTCTCTAGTCTTGGAAGAGCATGGGTTCTTTTCTGGCAGGATAACTGCTGCTCAGGTTGGCTCTAGATAGAAAGTCAGTGTAGTACAGACAGGTACAATGTGACAGGAGAGAATGGCCAAGAAATAAAATAATAATGTCTCACAGAACTTTAATGTGTCAATATGGTTAATTTTGTAAACTTGGAGAAATCTTTTAATCGGATCAGCAGCATTGCCTCGTGAAATTGCTCTTGTCAATAGATCTTTGTGTTGAAAGACTGTTGCAGCACTCTAATAGAATAAACCATAATGTTCCTGTTTCAGAAGCTTTAAAATCTTTTTCTTGCATTCTAATCTCTTGAACTGAGAAAAGGGCAGGAGGAAAAAGGCTGGAGCCAGATACAAATAATTCCTTCATGAAGTTTGCTTGTGTCTGAGATATTCTTTTTCTCTTTGTTCTCGAAACAGAAGTTAGCCAGTAAAAGAGAAAATTAGGGTTATTCATTATTAGAGAACTTATTTTAATTATTGTTAATAAATGGTAATTTAGGATGTTAAGGGAGAGAAGCAAGAATACAGAATACTGCATACTTGCAAATATTCCCCTAATTGTTTAGTTAGATGTTTAAAAGGTCTGTAAAAGCAGGGAAGCATTGAGGCCATCCTGACCTTGCCTGTGATTAGTAGTCCAATATTAGTGCTGCAAGGGGTACTAATATTTTGAGGATTATAATAACTGTAAACATTTGAGATTCTATTTCAAAATTGTAGCATTTAAATGTTACACAATCCTTTGCTGATACATAAACTACTTTCCTTTAGTTATGTATCCATGCATTCACAGAAAAACAAATACTTTTTCTTACTAGCTTTTCACATGCTTCCTCCCAGCTTTGGGTCCCAGTTGTGAGTGCCCTTCCTTCTTCCATGGTTCTCCCAAAGGTTACACGAAGCAGGACTTCGGAAGTTTTCTCTGAGATAACTCTCATCCCACTTCCTGAAAAATGCTCCAGTTATTCTTTCCAAAGCTAATAGTGTTTGTCAACAGCGCATGGTAGCACTGAATTTGAAAAACTTTTGGGATTATGCAGCAAGCAGATATCATGGAGTCAGCAGACAGGGAACTGGGAAGCTAACTTGTAAGGAAAGGACAAACTGAATTGAAAACACCAAGATACTGACTGTAAATCAGGCAAAGACAGGTTGCTTGCACTTATTAAAATTAAGGAACATGTGCCTGAATGGAACTGAAGCAGGTAGAATAACCAGGTAACTCCTTACTAGATTAATTTAGATGTAAATTGCATTGTTTCTTTTGATTGGTAATCTAACGTGTGTTCTCTGCTCCACAGGACATTCACCTATTCATGTGAATAATGGTGTGTTGTGGTAATCTGTACATATTAAAGTATTTGCTATAGCACTAAACTCACTCAGCTACTGTTTCTCCTTACTATAGCATTCATGAAAAGTGAAATGCTATTCTTCTTCTCTGTCCACTTGCTTACAGCCACTTTGCCTTGGGTGAATGGCTCTGATCTTACTTGTGGCGGTACTGTTGGACCAGATCTCTCTCAGCACACTGTGTTTGTGGTGCTGTGCTGGGTAACACACGTCTAAGAGGCTTGGGGGATACAAAATCTCTCACAGCAGCAGCTCCTGCAGTACTTGGCTTCAGTTTAAACACTGGAATATACGGCTTTCACCTGAGTCCGGACCAAGCTCTGTACCAAAACTGGTAGTCAGATACATTGCAGTGGTCTGCCTTAACCTGGATACAGCCTGGGAAGGCACCAGGACAGCAGATATGGATCTCTCTGGCAAAGATGAATGCAGTGATCTTGTCCAGCCTGTGTGTCGTTTGTCACAGCACAGTGCAAATAAACTCAGACCCTACTGCTCTGGCATTAATGATCTACTGACCACAGTTTAGGAGATGCTGTGAAATATGCAACACGGTAAAGCTGGATAAGCTGCACATTTAAGAAATTTGGCAAATATTAAAAGATAAATAGTTTATGGATTTTTGTGCTTAACTATTTAAATTTCTATTGTAAGATAAGTGATATCTAGGAGGGCAATACAGTTTTTCCAGGGAGGAGAAAAAAAAAGAGCAGAACTATGTACTTACGAGCTATAAAATGGACTAGATTAGTCTGGTGATGTTTTAGATACACTTTTGCATGTAGTCCCTTTTATTGTTAAGATAAAAATTTTGTGTTCTTAGCCTGGCAAATGTTTGTACATCTAAAATTGAAATCAGGAGTATTAAATGGGAGTAACAGCTTATATACATTTTTGCAGGTTTGAACTTGAGACTTTTCAGAGCTTTTAAAAGGAAGATGAACTTAGTTTAAACAAAGAGAAAGTACTGTTTATTCTCCCTCCATCCCAGCACAATCTGCACACTGTTGAAAAATTGAGGTTTTGTGTTCTAGAAGCTGTAACAGTGTTTCTGCTAACACTGTATTTACCAGGTGCATCCTATGGCAGCTTCACAGGTGGAGTATGAGTAACAGGAAAGTAGTACCTATTCTGTAAATAAGCCTGCTGCTTCTTAAATAAAAAAGAATCAGACCTTCCTCCATTCCAAAAAAATCAACTCTTCAGATTTTTAATCAGTTTTTTCCACTGGAATTTTTTTTTTGTTCTAAGAATTAATAGTGGAAGTCTTCTCATTTCAAAACATACTTTAGCCTAATTTCATAAATAAATGAGGCCTAAAAAATCTATTTTATTTTGTCTTTGTCTGCCTATCTTCTTGTCTCCCTCTTCTTCCAGAGTCTTTTGTTGCTTGGTGTCAGCCAAAATAGATGAGCCGCCAGTCTCAAAGGGAAACGTGTTTCCACAAGCTTTGTGGAAATTGGCTTCTAAATCAGAGGTTTGTTAGAGTGCCAGAGCCGGTGCTGGGGTCAACCACAGACCATGGGGTTTGCTGGCAGTTGGAGAGGGACTGGGATCCATGTGCTGGCTGGCAGTCAGCCCTTTGCCTGCCTCTGGCTCGGGCAGGCAGAGCAGAAACAGGCTGGGAGTGTAGGGGCAGGGGCTGAGGGTGCTGCAGGGGAAGGAACAAGAAAGGGGAGGTTTAGGGTATTGCTGTGGTGGTGCTGTGGGGGGACTTGGGCAGAAACTGTGTGGGAAGGAGCGGGGCAGAGCTGAGTGAGTCTGACTGAGAGAGGGCAATTTAAATCCTAGGAAATCATGCTAGGCTTGCTCCAGGGTTCACAGGACAGTTTGCTGATCACTGTGAATACTCTGGCAGGGCATTTAGCTTGAAAAATGCCAAACCTCGTAGAGGATCAGCTTGTGACTCACCAGCAGCCCTCTTTCTATTTCAATATGAAATTTTGGATGTTTTTTGGTAGCTCTTGCTTGATGTGTCCCTATTTTGTCCTAATACTTGAACCTCCTTGTATAAAAAATATTTGCAAATAAGCAAGGAATCCATACTCTACAATTCTCAGCTTCTGTTTGGAGCTTGGGAATTGTTGCTGCTTGTTTTCAGGTGTTTCCAAATAGCCAACATTTACCTGCCTAACAGCAATGGAATAGTTTAATAGATTTGATGGGACCTTGGCACACTTAACCTCATCTGAGCAAGAGTAGAAAACCCGCTTGAGCAGATTATTCTTGAAATTTAGGAAAGACTTGTGCAGAACTTGTATTAACTCTGACAGTACAAAGAAGACCAGAATAAATTTTTTAGGCCTGTCTTCAGTGTCATAACATGGAGACTGCTAAAAATTTGGGCTCTAAAACCATGCTGGCAAGAGCCAGGCTGGTGCTATTACTTGCCTTCGTGGGTGGGATTATTTAATTGGTATTCTTCTCGTTCTCTTTCTCCCAGCTGCACTGTCCCTTTTATGTTTCTGTGACTTTCTGATTTATCTCCACAGTTTGTGTTTAGGCTGTAATATTTTCATACCGAAATTCCTTAGTCTGATCTCAATCCACTCTCTGTTTCAGCTGTTAATTAGCACTGGAGATGACTGCACTAACAAACACTTTCTCGGCTGTACACAATAAGCTATGGCACCGTGTTACTCAACCCATTACTGTGATATGCCTACTAACAGCATCAGTGAATTTGGCCAAACTTCTGTTTCTGGGCTGCTATTTGCATGAATTTGTTTAATTTTCCTGTTCTGGGATGAGGATTATGCCTTTTAACACCAGGCAACCTCACATTCATCACTTGCAGAACTAAGCTTGATTTGCTTTGATTTTTTTTTTTTTTCCAGTGCGGAACAAGTTGAGGGATATAGTGGGAGCATCTACCAACTGGAGGTACAGTGTGTATTAAATGTATTTTACTTTATTTGTGAAACTGAGGTAGTTGAAACAAGGATTTTGAATTGGTACTTTGTGGACCACAAAATTCTAAGATTTCTCTGGCAGAAGATCTTTAGCACCAAAGGAACAAAATATGTGATCTTGATGTGTAAAAGACTGTCTCATTAGCTTTGAATCCACTGGAAGTTTTAGAGCTGTAAAGTCTGGCTGACAGTGTCACGGTGCTGTTACCTCTGGAGTTATCTCTAAGTGCATTGCCCATGTGGTGAGTTTATCCTGCACTGGTTGGTTCACTGTGAAGCAGGCTGCATGTCACTTTGGAAAATTGTCAGCTCAGTATCAGGGTCTCCTTAATCAGGAGCATCTTTAGCATTTCCTTTGTCTGCTCTAACTTAATTTTTGAATAATTTACATGTAACTTAAATAATTGATGTTTTGACTTTATTCATGTTATTATTCATGTTACCTTCCTCCACCTCCATTACATTGAATAAGCCAGAGTTGACTGTAATCCTCTACTGTTACAATTCTGGAAAACTCAGTATTCTGTATTGCAGCTTGGTTGGTCCCGTATGTATTGTTATTTTCTTATGGCTGTGTTTGCTCTTCCTTCACACTTTGTGCACTGATAGGGGAATGAAGAGAGGCTCACCTGGGTGGAATGTCTGATGAAGGCCTTCTGATCCAGTTTATCTAGACAGAATTATAGGCATGCTAACAAAAGTGCCTGAATCCAGGAAGCTGATTTTTACTTAGTAAGAGTGTCTAAACATGAGGGGGCTTGAAATTTTCAGTGGGTGAGCTAGAAAGGGCTCTAGAATTGTTTTATAAAAAAGCCTTTCCCACAGCCCAGAATGGCTGGGGAGGAATGACTCCATATGGAACTACCATCAGAGGACTGAGATTTTGGAGGGCTCTGGTCAAATCTGCCCCACTGCTCCCATGCTGGAAGAAGAGCAGACTGAAGCCAGGATCAGCACAGCAGTGCTTTTCTTAGATAGGTGTGTCTTTTGTGCTGTACCAGATGCAGCAGAAATGGTTTACAGAGTACTGAATGCTTCAGCTGCCATGGAGGAGTAAAACCAGGGAGACCAAAGCTGGGAGTGCTTAAGAATGACAGGTTTAATATGGGGAGGTTGGGAGGGCATGGATCATGTAGCCTTTGAGATCCCACTTTTAAAATGTGTTGACAAAGCGTTGATACATGAGGAGACTGAACAGCTGGGGATGAAACTGAGGCCACGGAATGATTGAAGAGGACAAATCTGAGAGAAAAGGATGATAGGGATCCTGAAACTGGAGCTAGGGAAGGACTGATGTACATACATCTGGATTGCTGGGAGAGAGGAGAGATGCATGTTGGAGGAACGCCTTCAGCCATAAATTTTGTGAAAAGTAAACTTTAGTTTGTGATTTCCCTTGTAAAGGACAGTGGCATTTTGTATTCATTTGTTATTAAAAAGAAATATCTTGCTTAAATGGTTGTTGTGGTTTTGTACTTAAATTGTAATTAAAACTATTACTCTGTTCATTGTTAAATATAGTCTAGATGGAATTGTGGACATTTCAGAAATAGATAAACATTTCTCAGAATGTTTAGGGCAGATGTTGGTTAATACTCAGATGAATTATTGTTACTGTATGAGTAGTACTGCAGTGTGTAACAGTATTTGTCTGTTGAAAAATGTTATTGCTGAATACTTCTGTATATTGAAGTGCAAATTCTGAAGTGGAAGTCAAGAAGAGTTCTGCTGCTGACCTCAGAGGAGCCAGGATGGGACTGATGAAAACAGAATATAATGAAATTTTTATTGTTTGGTTTCCTTTGTGTTTGTAGACAAATTTCTGATGTACTCTCTGATTATTTTTCTTAAACCTTTCACTGAGAGGCCTTGGAAAAAAATTATTTAAAAAGCCTGAAGGTGCATCCTTTTGGACATTACATCTTTCCTTAATCATCTCGTATGTTCTATTTCTGTGCAGTGGCATAACTTCAAACATTAACCCTCTAGAGGAGGTTGTTATCATTCTTTTTCCTCTGAACTCTGTGGTAGTCTTGTTGCCCAGATGAGGTAAACCATATCTCCTGTTTAAAACAAACAAACAGATGAAACTAACTGAAGTTTTCTGCTAGACTTTTACTTTCTTTGATCGTGGGTAATTCATATTTCCCCAAAACTTATTAAACAGAAGAGGGAATGTGAATATGGTGAAGCTTGACTTTCTGAAAGAAAACTCAAGCCAAGTAAGCCTTCATCTTAAATGGCTAATATCCAGAATTCATCCAAAGTCAAAACTTTAGTCAAAATTTTCTTTTTGGTGAAAAGGTTCTCCCTTTCTCCTCCCTCTCTCTCTCCCCTTCTCTCTTTCCCTCTCTGGTTTTGTTAAGCACAGTGTCACTGATCTCAGCAATGCACCATGCACAACTGAAGGAATGGCCCACATCCAGAAGTTTAACGTTGGTTGCTTAATGTTTTGTGCCTTCCCTTGCTCTATGAAATGGATCCATAGTTTTGCATACTCCTCGGAGCTGTTGCATGTTTAGCCCTTAGGTTTTTAACAGATTCTAGGGCTGTTATGAAATATTTGCTTTATTCAGTTAGGTTGCACCTTTAAGAGGAGGGAACTTTGGTGGAACAGGTAGGAGAGAGTGTTGGGTGAGATTGTTATATCTTGTTGGTTCCTTGCACAGGTATCTCCTTGACAGATTGCAGAGAAGTGACAGTAAGTTGGCCCTTATTCAGCTGTGGGAGTTGCAGCCCTTCTGAGCTGGTGGTGCTGGAAAAGCAGCTCTGAAGGAGCAAGTGCTCCCTTTTCTGTATTGTTTTTTTCTGTAACTTTCCTATATATTCATAAGATGTCTGGGTAGGAGAGAGAGAGAGAGAGAAATGGATTAGTTTCTCTGTCTTTTAGTTTACTCTGTGAACTGATGCTGAAAAGGGGCAACTCTCCTGTGGATGATGGCAAGTCTTAGCAGGTTAGTTCTCTTGTTCTTAGTACTAGCCAACACTGTACAGCTGCTTTACTTCTTGGGAGAGATTATAAATTGATGTTCAGTTCTTTAAAATTGTCACTGTGGCAAGAGTTGTGATACTGTAGGTATGGAAGGCATGAGTATGCAGAGAAACTCATAGATTAAATAATGTCAGATTTATTCTTTTCAAGGGGAGCCATTTTGGTAACATTCAGAATTAGATTATTTTTGCTCGTAAGTGTGAAGTATAAGTGTGAAGCTTGCTGCTTGTACACAAAGCTGTTTCAAAGCTTTATGCAGTAGTCTTGCTTGGCATCTCATTATGTGCATCTCATTTTCTTTTCAAGGCACACTTACTGTGTCCTGCTATTTGTACTACATTTTGGTTTTCATTTTGATAATCATCAGTGTGACATCTTTTAGCTAGGGTTGCAGTTCTGTTTCCTACTCCAGACGGAATGTTTTTTTTTTCTTGCCAGTGATCATGTGCAAGCAATGCAAGAAAGAAAAGCTCTTCATACTTTACTGGCAAAACGTCAGGAAGACCTCCCTGCTAGGAGAATGAAGGATAGCTACTTGGAAGTTATTCTACCTCTGGGAAGTCAGCCTGAAATAAGAGAAAAGTACCTGAACGTGCACAACAGTGTGAGGTAACAAAGCAACCACGTTACACATACAGGAAACTGTTAACTTCCATTTGCTGTGTGAATAGGTATTTAATTGTCAAAACCCCTGTCTTACAGGTTTGGAAGGATACTTGAAGATCTTGACAGTTTAGGAGGTGTGTATCTGTGCCCTTTTAAACACTCCACAAAGTGACTGAGTACTGCTGAACAGTGTTTGGTGTGATACAGTATGACCTCAGGCAGGGAATCCCATAACTGTGCTATCTCAAAGGGGAGGGAAAAAAAGAAGACACTGATGCTGGAAAGAAAGGATAGATGATAAAGAACAGACAGAATCAAAATTGTTCCACTTCAGCTTCTTGCCTCTGTCAAATTTTTAAAGGACCAGTTACAAGAATAATTTACTGAAAAGTGGTTCTATATTATGAATCTGCATTGAGTGTTAACTCAGAGATAATTTGCACAGTGTGTATTGAAAATTAAAACTTATGATTGTTTTTTCCTAAAAAAAACTCAACAAAAACTGACACAAAACCCAACAGAGGTTGGAAATATTTTGATCTTCCCTTTGGGGTGAAGAGAGTATAATCTGGAAAGAACAGAATGTAAGCACTGAGAACAAATTAAAAACAACTGCTGTATATTCTTGGGTTCTGTCCCCAAATTGATATCAAGGGTAAAACCAGCTCAGTTATTTAATGAGTTAGCATCCTTGATTTTTTAATTATTTTCATTTATTTGTGTTCTTGAAAAGTTCAAGATCTTTGACTTTTGTATTGCAGTTAAAATAAGTGCTAAGTGTTAATAGAACTTGGAGATACTTTTATCTTATAAAGTCTCCAGGTGACTTCGTTCTTCATCAGAGTTCTGTAGCTGGTTGGGAGCTTTTCAGTTGAGGTTTTTGACAAAGAATAAGTGCTTATTAAGGGAAAGCTGTGAATGGAGCATTTTTTTCTGTTCCTTCTGAGGAAGGCAGAGAAGCAAGTGAGCACATGTCTGTCTAGGATAGACCAATAGCTGGATGATTTACATTTCCTTCTGGGAGGTGGAAGGTACTGGCTTCAGCACCTGTCCTGAATTAGAAAAGGAGACTTCAAACTGTTGGCTGCCCTCCACTATTAGATGAGATAAGCCTGTTTTTCATTCTGTGCCTTGTTTATTTTCCCTGAAAATCTGTGAAGACATTATTTTTAACTGTGATGGCACAGAATGTCTTTGCCTTGTTTGCAGTCATACTGGGCTTCAATCAGTTCCACTGGGGATGTCTTGTTTTGGGTTAATCAAGATTCTGTCCCAATTACACAATATTCAGGATGGCCCTATTGATGTAACGAGTTGATAGGCATAACAGGTTTTAGAATTGTGTCTCCAGTAATTTTAAGGGAAAAAATAGATTACTTGGAAGGACAGAGATCTTTCTTCTGTTATCTTGTTAAGTCCAAACAGATACTTTTGATTATGGAAATCTGTTTTGAGTGAAAGTCACATGAGCACTCAGAAAAACCCTGTTTTTGCAGCCTTGAATTACTCTAAGGAGTCTGTTTACTTGGATGTGCTCTTATGAACAAAGCTAATTAGTTTAAATAGTGGTTTGGCTGGTAGTGATTGCAGTGTGATAAATATCTCTGACTATGCTTTCATGCCTGTAAGGCACAGCTTATTTAATCTTCACCTCTTTAAAGGAATCAGTATTTTAAAAGTCCTCAAATGGCATGTATCCTTGGACAACCTGCATGAAATCAAAACAGAAGACAGGAAGAGTCTGAGACAGTGGATTTCAGGGGTAGAGGAAAGAGATTATGTGGGATTTGGAGTAGAGTGATGGGTTGATTTAAAGTGCTTAGCTAAATTTCTCTTTGTAGTGAGTAAATATGCATAAAACTGAGCAGCTGCATCACTGTTTTCTTTATAGTAATCCCATGTGTTACATGCATGAAAATGTGGAAGTGTGCTTTCCTACAGTAGATATTTTAGTTTGTGTTTTGCAGGTACTTCTCATGCTTTGCAAAGATGGCACTGATCTGCTCTACTAATGCTTTTGTTACAGAGCTGACTCAATTTTTTGTTCTCTCCACAGTTCTTATTTGCTACACTCACACCAAGCAGGAAATGCAGCCAAAGTCTCCCTTATCCATAGTCACAGCTCTGGTGGATAAGATCAGTAAGTGGCAATTTGGTCCAGTAGAAATGGCTTCGTCTGTTTGTCTTACTCTTTCAGCAGCCACTGCCTTCCCATGGTTGTTACTGAGGTTACCTTCTTCACTCTCCTGTTTAGTTCACTTCATCTTGTTTTGGCCTTGAACTCTCAAGTATTGTGGCTTTTGTTGAAGGGAATAGGGAAGAGGGTTTTGTACTACTTTTTAGCATTTTGTATGTCACTTCACTTCAAAACACAACTTTCATGCTTCTTGCACTTCTATGTTTAGTTTTCTCTTGGCACCTGGGTTTCTTAGCTTCATTATGGAACAGTGTTTGTTCTGGTGGACTTGGGACCTTGCTTGTGTCACATGTTCTGCTGAACACCTCCAGGGGTCAGCTGTCCACCTGTGTGACTACTTCCTACTCCAGTTCTGGCTTGAGAAGTGTGGAAAGGCAGAAACTGCAGACCAGCAGTTTGGTCCTTTGCTTTTCTGGGTTGTCGTTGCGTGTGTTGCCACTTTCACAACGCAGAAAGGCCTTAGAGGATCTGGCCTTTCTAGTAATAGATGTGAGTGATCTGTCTCCAGTAACCCCTAATGTTTGTCTTGTAGATTTGTGCAAGAAGATTATATATCCAGACTGTGACATCAAATTCACAGGCAATGTTTCTTGGGTTGGGAAGACCTCAATGGAAGTGACAATGCACATGCTGCAGGTTAGTTCCTGTGACTTCTCTCCATCTTATGACAGGCATGAGGTGCTTCAGGGGAAATACTGGATGATGGCATCAGCAATCTAAATTATATATTTCAGAATAACTTTCTGAAGGGCTTGAGGCAGCCCTAGTATTCTGCAGACCAAGACAACTTCCAGTAGTCTCGGTGCAGCAAGGCAGTCTTGCTAATCTTTCAAGACATGCATTTTTCTTAACCAGTATTTTGTACTTAAAGTGCAGCACAGTACTCTGTGCTCTGCATGATCTCAAATAAGCTTCTCCCTGCTTTTGAAAAACTTTCTTTTCCTTATGCCTTTGCATTTGATAGATTTATGAATTTTAATGTTGGTATTCAGACTTGGTGTTAAATTGTATCTCATGTGCTCATCGTATCTACTGTGCAGCATAATTTTTTTAATGAGTTATTAAATAATAATAGAATATAAATGAAGGCTGTAACTAGGCTACACTATGCAGGAAGCAAAAGGAACATTAATAATTAAATTTCAAAAATCTTAACATTTCTAAGAAATAATTGCTGTGAATTCATTAGTTAACCGAAACATTAATTCAGTTATTTAATTATTTAGAGTAAAACAGATATGCTATAAACACTTAAATGATACTAGTGGCTCCTTTGGAATGAGTCCAGAGGAGGGCCTCTAAAATAATCAGAGGGATGGAGCACCTCCCCTGTGAGGAAAGGCTGAGAAAGTTGGGACTGTTCATTCTGGAGAAGGGAAGGCTTTGGGGTGACCTAATTGTGGCCTTCCAGTACCTGAAGGGAGCCTACAAGAAAGATGGAGAGGGAATTCTTAGAAGAGCCTGTAGTGACAGGACAAGAGGCAATGGCTTCAAACTGAAAGAGAGTAGGCTTAGATTAGATATTGGGAAGAAATTATTTACTGTGAGGGTGGTGAGGCTCCGGAACAGGTGACCCAAAGAAGTTGTGGATGCCCCATCTCTGGAAGTGTTCAAAGCTAGACTGGGCAGGGCTTTGAACAACCTGTTCTAATGGAAAATGTCCCTGCCCATGGCAGGGGGATTGGAACTAGATGGTCTTTAAGGTCCCTTCTAACTCAAATAATTCTGTCATTCTATGATTTGGTGATAATTCAGAAAAACAGATAAATATTTTTTTATTCACTTGGTCTCCTTAAATAAAATCTCTTATGTAGAAGATAATGTTACACCTTTATTGTCTGAGTTCCTTGCAGTGCTGACATTAGTGGCAATTTGGTATTAACAAAATAGTATTTTTTGGTATTTTTCAGAATAAATGTTAAGTGGGTTCTTTTACAGTGCCTGTGTTGATTTTCTCCCCTCCCAGCTGAAAGCAGTTAATAAGCATTCCCTGCTAAATGTTTCATTGCAGAATTCCTGAAACTAAAGTTTTAATTTGCATTATTTCCTAATATTTGACCTATTGTGAGAGATGTTGGAAGGGATGACAGAATGTGAAAGCAAACAAAGTGAACGGTGTGGTCACACAGTTGATGTCAACTAAAAACCTTGCTAAGCACGTTTATAATTTTAGGTTTTAATAATACATTTTTTTTCTGTCTCTCTTAGCTGCATGATGGTGATTACAGCCCTGTGTTAGATGCAACCTTTGTCATGGTGGCCCGGGATCCAGAGAATAAACGGTAATTTGTAGGACAGGAAAATAGTTTTCTGACTCCTGCTGTGCTGAAGATGGCAAATGTGGCAGCTTGCTCTCTGTGTGTGGAAGCCCTATAATGTAGGTGTGAAATAAATCACATAGTAAGTGTTTTCTGCTGGCAAGTGTTAACTTTCCTGTGACAAGCTTCAGAGTATTGATTTCAGCAGTCAGATGATACCAGGATTTGCTGGTAGTCATGGGATCTGACCCTTTTCTTTAACAGATTTAACCTGTGTTTGAGTGACTTGGCCTGAATGAACACAAGAAGTGAATAAATCTGCCAGAAACCCACTTGCATTCTAGTAGTTGTTACAACTAAAGATTGAGTTTCAGTAGTTAAATAGTCTTTGAGTGAGCAATACCCTTAATTCCCTAATAGACACTTGATAAGTGTCACCAGAACAACTCAGGCTGCAACTTGCATGTGTAACTAACATGGGACTGATAAGTATTCCCACAGAACTTTAAAACCCCTAAATGCTAGTTTTGTTATTTTTCTGGTTTTACTTTATCTATAATTCCTTAGTCATTAAACTAACAGGCTGCTTAGTTTCAGTTTTGCTTTGTAACTCCAGCATCGGAAAAATGGTTGTATTTCTTAACCTCTTTCCTGGATAGCCTGCCAAAGTAATAAACTATTTCCCATTTCCAACTAGCTTAAACAATTGCTTGTATTTAATGAAGAAGGATGTGTTTAATTAAGGGATTTTACTTTAATTAATTATGTAGTCCTGATACCATTAGAAGTAGTTTTTAGATTGGTATCCTTCAGATTTTTTTTTTAAACCAATGAACATACTATACATTAAGAAAACCATTTATATTTATGGTTCCCATTCTAAGGACTAATTTTGCAAAATAATTACATCAGATTTGATGGCTAGCTGGACACAAGCCTGCTGTGCTTCCGTCCATATAAGGAGGGTATTTATGTGAGGTACAAACCCTTCAGAGAGGTACAGCGTACAATAGGTTGGCTGTAGTGCCACAGAACTGTGCTTGTGTGCCTCTTGGACCATAGCAAAGCGGCATCTCAGAAGCTTGGGGCTTGGGCAGGAGAGCTGAGGTAGATGTGTCCTGAGCTGAGGAGAAGTTAAATAAACTCTACAGTGGAGAAGGAGCTGCTTTGTCTTCAAAATCCAGATGTTTAGCAAACCAGGAAAGAGTAGTTATAGGAGAAAAGATCTCTGTGTGCCTCTTGTCACCAGCACAAGTAAAGGCTTGGGGTAGAGGTGGATTGTTCAGCATATACTTGTGTGTGTGTGTATGTATGTGTTGTCTGGAGCATTTGTATAAATGTTGAAAATAGAAAAGTAATAATTAGGAATTACAGGGAAGAATGGCTCTGGAAAATAAGCATTTGCCTCTACTTGTGAAAATAATTAAACGTCATATAATTAGGTTAAAGTAAACTTACTTGTGGAGTAAAATAAACATACAAATTTGTGCTCAAGGCATGTCATAATCTTCTTTGATAAGTAGTACACGTGGTAAACAGCTTTTGGCTGTTGATAAGGCTGTCATGGGAGCATGTAGGTTATAAAAACACTTGCTAGCTATGCCACCGTGTTCTTTCTATTCCAGGAGGAATGGTACCAGTCAGTTTTTGGTTTAGTCTATCCTAGATCATCATGGTTTCATTTGCTGAGTTTCTAAGCAGCTTTCTGCTTGAATAATCTTCATTATAATTTATAGGTACAATTTTAGGTTCTTAAGAGGCAGAGACGCATCTTTCTTAATTACACTAGGTAGTGTTTGGATCACTTAACTGCCTTGGCAGTTCCACATTATGAAATAATGCAATTATTTCTATGATATAACCTGAAGTATGTATTTTCATCTTGTAACATGTATGTAAGCAAAAATGGAAGACTGTTATAATGTATGTATAGGACAAATTCTTGTGAAGCTTGTAACTTAAAAAAAAATTCCTGTCCATAGGCCAGCATTTGTTAATCCACTCGTTCCTGAGAGTCCTGAGGAGGAAAAAATCTTCAAGCAAGGGGAATGTATGTCATATTTCCTGGTAGTATGTACATCTGCCTCAGATTCAACTTAATAGCTGGAAGGAAGTAAACTTCAGTAGTTCTGCTACTTAGAAATGCTCCTAATTTATTTAAAATCAGATTTTTTCTCCAGCTCATGTGTGTCAGTAGTGTAAGAGAGTTTCAATCGTTGCAGCCTGTGGTAATGAGTTCTGTCATAAATTTCCATTCTTGTACCATTGGCAAAACCCGAAGCTGATTGTTCTGTAGGGACTCTTGTTAGATATGTTTTTCTGTACTTTGAGGGTAGTACTCAAGTTTTCTGTAGAAGCAGTGGGTATCACAGCACAGGTACTGAAGTGCTTCATCAAAGTGGTGAGGTAGCAGTAAATTTCTGCTTTATTTCTTCTTTGATGCAGTCAATTCTAAAAACCAGATTTGTGTTTCAATTGATTGGATTGTGAAGTTACAGCTTTTAACTTACAGGGAAAAAAAGAAAAAAGGAAAGACAGTTGATTCCAAGTCAAAATTGTCAGAGCCATTATTTGTTTTTCACTTTGAACTCTAATTCTATGAAGTTTTTTTTTGATATTTAGTGAACAAGCTGAGGAGGATTGATTTCAGCACTGCTTCCTTACTGAAAATGGCTCCCACTGCAGAAGAAAGAAACATCGTGCATGACATATTCCTTAATACTTTGGACACAAAGTAAGAAGGGGAGTGGGTGAGGAGAACTGATGTATTATGAAAGAAAAAAGTGCCTTTTGAGTGGGTGCTCATAAGAGGGTAATCTGAAATAAACGCACACATTTAAATTCCGTGGCATTTTATTTGGGATGCAGGTACAAACTTTAATGTGACATCTGCAATTCTCAAAAGAGTCTTCTGTTGTTACATGGTGTTAGCTGTGCCAGGAGGGTGAAAGCAACACTGTAAGCACGAAGAGCTGAGCAAGCTGTTAGGAATGATCTTGAGGAAAAAGGAATAATGATGTTTAACCAAATAAGGGAATAGATTGGTTTTGCAGCCATGACTTCTACAGTCTAAGAGTTTTCTGCCATGATACCTAGTTAAAAAAACTGTGAGGGCAGGAAGTGGCCATGTTATGACCAAATAACCTTGTAGTGTGTTTTAAATAAAATACCTGACAACATTATTTGAGAGAGACTGTTGTTGGCATACTTCGCTTATATTTGAGATTGGTGTGAAATCATCTGATGCCAATGGTGACAGAACAGTGTCTAATGATAGTATTGCAGTGTTATATTTGTGATAATTTATAATTTTTTAAACATATTAAAATTATACATTTGCTGTTTTTAAAGCTGTTTACTAAAGGGAGACATGCTTTCCCTTAAAATTAGCAGATGTATTTTGTACACGTTCTGTCTGGATTTGAAAACCTCAAACTGTCTGCATGTTTGATGTTGAATTATTCTGTTAGCTCAGTGCATGCTTTTAATTCCTATTATGACTTAAACAGAATAAGGCTTCTCTGACAAAGTGTGTGCTTTGTGGTTGTGATTCATCTTTTCTTTCATGTTCTTTTCTCGAGCCTCATCATTCACATAAACTTGAACGGTAGCAGAAGTTTTTGAAAGATCAGGAGTGTGGGTTTATGGCAGTAACAAATCAAAGTACTGCCTTAGATAAGGTTAAGAGTCTGTTGGAAAAGTGTTTAGTGACACCCTTTCTGTTCTGGGGTTATTTTGGTGTTCTATATTTTTGTGGGGTTTCTTAAATGTGGGTCTGCATTTGCTATTTATGCATTTTTGGCTGCTGATTTGCTGCTAATTCTGTGGACTATAAAGTTTTTTGTCTCTTCCAAAGGACAGTAAGTTTCCGGAGTCGTAAATTGCCACCCAATTCAGTGTGGATGGAAGATACAAAGCTAAAAGGCCTACAGATCTGCCATCCTCAGGTATTTTGAAAAATATTAACGAATTACAGAAAGGTACTTAAGAAGTAACTTCAAGAGGGAATTTTTACAAGGACATGTATTGACAGGACAAAGGGTAGTGGCTTTACACTGAAAGAGGGGAGGTTTAGATTAGATTGTAGGAAGAAATTTTTTACTGTGACTGTTGTGAGGCACTCGAACAGGTTGCCCAGAGAATTTGTAGATGTTCCATCCCTGGAAACGTTCAGGGCCAGGCTCGATGGGGCTCTGAGCTCTGTTTTAGTGGGAGGAGTTGAATTTTTGGGTGAGATTAGTCAAACCATTATTTTGTTTCACTTCTATAGTCCTTGCAATGTATTTAGATCCTAGTTTCTTTTGCCAGTTTTTTGTTATTTGTATAGATTACTACTGCAAAAGAGAAGATTTTTATGACTTTGTTTTCTTACTAGACTATTCATTCTGTGTGAAAAAATTCCTATGTAAAGTTTCTGCAAAAAGTTTGGCCTTTGTTTGCTGACACAATTTCGAGTTGTTATCTTATGTTTTTAAATGAGGCAGATGAGCTCCTCTTAATTAAAGTTGCCTTGGGCATTTTGAATTTTGCATGTATATTTCAATAGTGCTTTTTATATATTCAGCTGTTGGGACTTCTGTTAAATACTGTAAACTGAAGTGCAAACTTCAGCACAATGCTTTGAAAAGAATTTTAATTTTTGTTTCTACATACAGGAACGGAACATCTTCAATAGAATCTTTGGGGGTTTTCTCATGAGAAAGGCATTTGAACTGGGATGGGCAACTGCTTGCAGCTATGGGTGAGTTGTAGGCCTGGAATATTTATATAATCCAGATCACTGTGCACATATACATAGGTCAGGAAGGCCAAGCTAACCTAATGACAATCTGAGCTGAGAAAACCTAGGTGTCCAGTAGAATCTTGAACTATTAGTGCACAGTGCTGCTTTACTTAGGGCACCTGTGGTATTTACAAAGAGATTTGCATCTTGCTCCTTGGAGCTTGGTTTTTAAGCATCATCTGTCAAGACAGAAAATACATCCATTTTCTGTTTTCTTTTAACTTACCAAGGTATTCAGATGAACTTTTGAAGATTCATTTTCTTTGTAACCATATAGAATAGATGTTCTATCAAATAAATATTACATCCTTTCATTCCATAAACAAGAGGAATGGTTTCTGAACTTCTGGTGACTGCTTGAGCATGACTGAAGTCATCATCCAGCAAAGGTCTATGTGTAAATTAAATGGAGTGTGCACTGCCTGATACAAAGTTAAGTGGTTTGTGTCAGTGCTTGGAAAATTGAGGCCTGAGCAATGGTGGCATGAAGATTGCCTTGCAAGTGTAAGTCATAAGATACAATAATGATGCAATAACATGTCCTTAAAGACCCTGTACTTTTATTGCTGTGAAAGATTTCTTCCAGTTATTTTTGTCTTTGGTGATGACATAACTCATTAGCACTTCCTGTGGCCTTTTGTTTATGGAAGAGATTTGTTTTCTAGCAATCCTTCATTAAAATGCTGGCAATAAAATATTTTAAATTTCTCCAAACATCCTTTTTATTCTTGAGACGAAATTTCTCTTTTGCTTCCTCAGGGGTTCCAGACCCTTTATTGTATCTGTTGATGATATCATGTTTCAGAAGCCAGTTGAGATTGGATCCTTATTATTGCTTTCTGCACAGGTAGGAGTTGATTTCTTTTCAAAAAGGAGCAAACCTTGTCTTTGCTATGATCACTGCTAGTCACTGATAATGAACAGTGCCCTATGAGAGCGTGTGACTTTTCTTGTTAAATGGTGTAATGAAGTCTGTTGCAGTTTTTCAGCACCAGTAATAAATTATAAGCTATAACTCTTGTTTTCACTGTATAGGTCTGTTACACTGAAAAAAACTACATCCAGATTCGAGTGCACACTGAAGTTTATGATGCAAATACCAGAGAGCACCATACTACCAATATCTTCCATTTTACATTTATATCAGAAAATGAGGTCCCACGGGTTGTACCTAATACATATGGAGGCAAGTATCCAATGAATCTGTTGTCATCAAAACTCTGTAGAAAAGATGAGTTTCTCTTGGAACACTGGTAATTTTTAATAGATGAACTTTTGGCGTTTGAATAATTTAACAGAATTTCATGGCAAACCACATTTGTTTTATGCTTTGATGACAGTGTGGATAGCTTCTTGCATTTGCCAATCTATGTAGTTGTAGTTGCTTAGTACTGATACTAAGTTCTAATGTGGTTCTGTCTTTTCTCCACTTTATTTCAGAGTCCATGTTGTATTTGGATGGGAAGCGACACTTTGATGCGGTCATGAAAGAAATCTGACAGGCACTGGGTTCTGCATCAGCAATGTAGCAGCACTGTCTTGGAAAGAGATGGCTAAAGGACAGGTGCTTTTAATACTCAAAAACCCCCCAACAACCACCCAAAACCAAACCAAACCATAAAATAACAAACCCAAACTCTACAACAAACCCCACTTTTTTAGTGCTCCTTTTGTATTTGCATATATCTGGATTTTTTTATTGTTTGCTACTAGAATTTGTTGAAATCTACTTTTACATGCCAATGCTATGAAAAAAGGCTGAAAAAATACAGTATTAGCTTTAGATAGCATCTCTTTTTCTACTTTGAGAGATCTCATTACAAGTTTTGCTGTCTTGTCACCATCTGCCTTTTTTCCCTTAGTAGCTCTCCTTTGTGTTTCCCTGATAATGAATAGAAGTTCTGTCAGAAAAACGTGTGCAATGAGTAGATACACACAGGTGGAGCAATTTGACCTAGATTCATGTGTGATTTAGCTTTAAGGTCATAATTTTTTTTTAAACAAGGACACATATATCTAGGCAGCAGCATAAGATCAGAAGTTATCAGTGTATACACAATGTAAAACAGGTGTTTCCCATCAGTGGGGATTTTACAAGGTTATTGCAGCTTCTGTTTTGGATGGATGCACGTTCCCTTGGGAGGAAACTGATTTTTGCAATGAAATGAGGTGGCCAGGTGGTATCTTCTGGCATTCTGTTTGTGTACAGCCAGTCCTTGCCAGCCTCTTCTAACTTTTGTTTTGTTTTAATATATAACAGTAAGTCAGTTCCTTAGTGAATTATTTCTCATGTCCTGGAGACTAGAGATCTGATTGGTAGGTTTGGGTGGGACTGGGAAATGGCACTGTAGAACAGAACATTTTTGTTTATTAAGGATTGGGAACAAAAAAGGTGAAATGCTGCTCAAATGGTAATGGTGATTGATGTTGGAGTTAGGGATCTAGAGAATCTGTGCTGAGCAGCTCCCAAGTCAGCTGCTGAATGGTGGGAGGATCTGTAACCCACTGAGGGGTGGTACAGCTGGAGGACAGGCTTCTCCTCAGCCGGATTATTGATCTGGTTCCTTGGTGGACTGAAACATAGTATGAATATTGCATAGGTTGTCAAGTTTACCTTGGAGGTAAAGGACAGAGGATTTTCCCACCACAGAGGGGACACGATGGTGGACATAACTATGGCAACAGGAAGTAACAGGAAGAAAGTAATGGATACTGAAATGCTTCTGATGTAATGGAGAAAGTTGTAATAATTTCCAGTATCTGGCAGATAAAGTCCAACATCCTGAGATCAGGAAGGTGAGGGGATAGGAGGCATCAGCTTTTAGCGTGAGTATAATTATCACAAGCACAAAACTAGACCTCTGATACCTTCACATCAAGACTGATATCCTGTCTGATCAAGACACCCAGAGAGGAGTTGAGCTCAGTGGTAGTTAAATGGATGAAATGTGATGCCTTATAAAACACAAGAACAGACTCTGGCTTTAGATAAAAGGTTGATAAAATAAAGCAGCATGTTACGCTTTTATTTCTGAGTAAGACAATCTGAGAAATTCATAATTAGGACCAGTTTCCTTTGGTGCTAGAATGGCATGAAGTTCATGGCTCCTGACAGCTGATTGCTGTTCCTGTGAGGAGAGTGAGCGTTGTAATAACCAGCATGTTGCACATCAGCCTTTTCTTTCTAAGACTCAGCTGCTGTTACTGATGAGTTGGATCAACAGCTCTCCAGTGGAGGCACAGGGGTGTTGCCTGCTCAGATCAGTGCGTTGCCATGATAGTAACCTCTTGGTTCCTGCTGTGGAGTTTCTTTCTTCAACCAGTGCTGACTCAGATGTATGATTTTATAATCTTTTTCTTTAATGATTTTGATGCTGTGGAGATATGTTGTATTTTCTGGGTTTCTCCCTTTTAAAACTCTTTGGAAACTGAATATACTTGACTGACTTCACAAATAAAAAACTGAAATTCTGTCTTATCTTATTCCCCCCACACTGCAGGGATCCATGTTCACTGTTAAAAATTAAATAGGAAGGTGGGAAGTGGAGGGATATATTTCAGAACTATGTATTACTCCTAACTATCTGCAGGTTTTTATTTTTGACCCCAGTGGTCCTACCTGGGTTACTTTTTTATAGCACTTGTAAGTTAAGGGGATACAAAATGCTTCCTCTACTGCCTTTTCAGCTGCATTTAAAAAAAAAAAATTATCCTAATTTCTAAATTCAGCCTTCGGGAAGGGATGGGAGAGGAGAAGAAGAGGTTATAGGGTAGGGAGGAAGGCATGACATCAGAACCTCTGGGCAGAGTGAAGAAGATGAATCCTTCAAATTAAGATGCTTAGAAAAAGTGTGTTCTCAAACTTCATGATATCTTAATCAAATACCACAATGACAGTATTTACAGAAATGTATGTACAGACATACAGAATGTGTGTGTAAATATATACACATATGTAAAAAATACTGTATATCTTTCTGTTTATTACTATATATATGACCTCCTGTATTTTTTCACTCTGAGAAAGTAACTCCAAGTTGTCACTCTCTAGTGATAGGCTGCATGTATCTTTGTTCAAGGGTATGCATGCTGCTTTATACCTTTGTGTGTGAGAGAAAATTGTTCTCAGATCTCAGAATATTTTAACATGGTAGTAATGTTGGGTTTATGTTGCAACTTAATGTCCAGCCCCTCACCGCTGTCGGTGACTAACCATTACCACAGAAGCATAAAGGAATTGGTAGATAATGTTTGTATTTATAGTAAGCCTGTCTATATAACTGACTGTGGCTCTGTAGCAGGAAGTTATTGTTTCTGTGGCCATCATGTCTTGGAATATTGTGAGGAGGAGGAGCAGGATTGCCTCCCCTAACCTGCTTGCTTAATGGTGATATATGAAAGGAGATCTCTGGGGGACTGGTTGAGCTCAGTGACCAAGGAAGTGCTTGCTTTTAGATGTTTTTATTTTTCTGTGGTTAAAAAATATATTAAAATTATTACTCAAACTTACTGAAACAGCTTCTGATACCCCTTTTTCCAATATGCGCCATTCCTTTGCAGCCACGTCATGGTGTTCAGCACTCTGGGAAGAAGTTTGGACGTGCTGGTGCAGCATGAGCTGCTGAGAGAGGGGTTTAGTTCAGAAACCTGCTCTAAACTTACTGCACGCTCAGTTGGTTTTACTGCACATTCAGTCCAGCCTTTGTCTTGTGACAGACTGGTTTGATTGCTGATCCTCCTCTGAATGCATTTTTAACTAGGTGTGGGAGAGAGCATTCACAGGCTAGGCACTAGCTTTTGACATCTGCTTTAGTTTGATGCTTTTGCTGCTGTATGTGCTACCACAATGCACCCTGTGGTTTTGTTGCTGTAACTCTCTAAGGAGCCATGGGCTGGGTGGGGCATGTTCAACGCATGGGTGATACCTCACCTCTGTCTTCATCGTTTCTCACTGGCTGGCTCAGTGACCTCTCCTGGCTGGAGAAGTGGGCAGAGCCTCTGGGGAACTGGGCACAGACACCATTCCTAGTGGAGGCACAAGTGTTGGTCTCATGCTGTGCCTTGAGCTACTCTGAATATCCATGTAACAGCTGGGCCTGTATTTGTCATGCTGCAGCAGCTTGGAGTTATTTGAATGTTCTCTGTGTTGATGTTTTTTGCTGTTTCAGGCTTGATAAGGCTGTAAAAAAAATCCCAAGTAAAATTCAAGCAGCTGGTTTACAGCCCAGTAATGTGAGCAACCACCTCTCTACGTGCTGCCCTCCAGGCTTTGCGATCATGTGGACTGGTGCAATATTTTCCAGCCTGTGGGGTTTGGCACTGATCCTGCTTTGCCTGTTACACTCTAGATGGGATGAGGGACTCCTCCTTTCTCCAGGCCTCACAGGGACACGGAGGCTGGGGCTTAGTGGAGCTCTGTGCTCTGTCCGTGGTTAACCCTGCAGTAGGCACGTGCTTAGGGGTTATTTGTCAAGCAGCCACTTCTGCTCGGTGTCTGCAGTGAATAACCCCAAGAACTGCTCAGCATTCACCCAAGGCTAAGCAATCACGTAACTTCACAGTGAAAATGGAACTGCTGGTCTAGTTCTGCAGAACTGAAGTGTCTGTGTATAGGACAGGGAACTGTATGGCGGGATGGGGGAAGGGGATGCAAGTTCTCAGGTGTGTGAGGTCCTACCAAGAGTAATGATGTAGTGGTGTAGACTGGAGCAGGGAGGAAGGCACCTTTTGCCTTTCCAAGGATGACCATGGTGAAAAGCTGACACACGTTTCAGTTGCTGTTTTTCCAGTTGCACAGACTCTGCAATACCATATAAAAAAAAGGGAGAGGTGGGAAGGAGCCAGACAAGACACTGGGGTTTTCCAGTGCACACAAGTGTATCTTACCTGGAGATGCTCTGTTCCCTTGAGAGATGAAATTCATACACATGAGCTATAAGAGTGATGTGATCATTGCACTTGTCAGTACCAATTCTGGGAAAGACTACAATTACTCCCTTAAAGCTGGGAGCCACTAACCACTACATTCATCTGTTAACAGTGTAGGGACAGGGAAAAAATTCAGACCATGTGAAAACAGAATCGACCTTATCAGCAAACACACTACAAATTCAAGTGTGGAAAATTCACTGGTTCAGCTCTTGAATCACATGAACTGGCATAGCTGTATTTTTTTCAGAGCAGTTGTACTGATTTATGTAGCTTAGGGGATGTCCTTAGTAGTTTAAAAATGTTTTCCAGCTTCAGACGGACTGGAAATTTAATTCAGCAACTGTCACTTATTTCTGGCTTTGTGGTTCGCTGCTATTGCCTCTGGACTACAGACTAATGTACCATAACAAAATGGCTCTTTTCTACCTGTAGCTCCTAGAACGTGACCAAACAAAAGAGTTTTGTGGAAGTAATCTAGTAATACCAGAAGCCATGAATCTAAGCCCAAGCTGCTAAGATAAGAAAAGCTGGGGAAGACTAAGCATCTAAACAAGACTTGAAGGAAAAACATGTAGTTTGTAAGAATATTCTCTGATAACTAATGAGGTACCTGTGCTTTACACAGGTTAGACTTTGTTTAAATAATGAGATCTTTAATGTTTTACCGCAGTTATGTATTACACAAACTCACAGAAGTACCAAAATTAATGAAATTTTATTGGCAAAAATCAAGTTGAATGTGACCTATGTAATTCAACAGAAGCAAGCCTCAGTTCAGTTTATCAAAATACTTCAGTTTTCCAGCTGGATCTGGAATTATCTGTGCAAGAAAGAAAATGACAGTGTTAGTCAAAAGACATGAAAACACAGCAAACTATAAAGCCAACAAAGCACAGTATTTCATGGTAAGATAATATGGCCAACTCGCTAGCAGCACTGAATAATTTATCAGCTCTTGGTACCAGATTACTGTTGACCTCTAAAGATACTTCATGGCAGTAGCAGAGAGATTTAACTAATTGAGGCATGAGAGAGAGTGCAGCCTACCAAAGGAAGAATTTTGACAGCTTGCCCCAAAAGCAAGTTATTTTAATAAATTAATGTCTGTAATCCAGAGTCTTGTAATTTACTTACAGTTCTTCCCTTGGCCACCACACTCTCATGGCTTCCTCTGGTTTAATCTAATTAAATCAAACACATTTAGAAAGCATGACTACATCTTTGAGAAAGGCTTTTTGAACTACTCTGCTATTTAAATTATCTGCAACTTTTGCACATAGGGGATGGAGAATGCTTACACATTGTTTTAGATTTTTAAACTGGCGGTATTGGAGCTGTTCATCTCAGCATTGTAAGACTGTTTTTTAGAAAACATGTTAATGTCACGTTATTTATGTGATTCTATTATGGAGGGCAGAAGTTTTGGTGCCAAAATATGAACGTTAGGCCAGCCAGCTCTTTTTTCATTTTACAGCCTTAATACCCAGCTCCCCCACTACAACGATCCTCTGCTAGCTTGAAAAAATTGACTCCTAGTCTCCAGTCATCCTGGGAAGTTTTCACATCCAGCAAAGGAACATGGTTTAACATTCCACTGTTTTTCACTTTCAAGTACAATGCTCACTAACTGCTTAGAGGCTGCTGGGACCTGCTTTTTGCTGAGACAGCTCTTAAACAACAATGCTTTGTCATCGGCATTTGGTTGAGAAGGAAGCCACATGCTCAAATACATGACAGTGATCTCATCCCAGCTAGGCAGCTCAGACCTCTAGTGAAAGTTTCATTATTCTGCTGAGGCTGCTCCAGGCCAGAGAACACAAACAAGTTCAATGGGTGTTTATCTGAACTCTGGCTCCGCTGCTTGCAGTCACATGGAGGCGAGGAATAACAGAGGAAAAGCAATTGCACAGCAAAGCAGTGCTCTCTGCTGGAGAGCACACTGGCTCTGGCAGATACTACAGCAGCCTGGGAACTTGTTTCTTTCTTTTTCTGGGTAGTGCCTAGGATCTGCAGTAAGAACCAACAGCACCAGGAATTTAAATGCACCAATAATCAAGAAGATAAAAAAACCTCAGGAGTTTCCAACTTCCCCTCATCAGGTGTTAACAGGAAAAAAAGTTGATCACGAACTCATTGCTGATCAAGAGAATTCTGCTCACACACTGGGAATTTGAAACAACTGCAACATGTCTAGTGTGAGGGAAATGAGATCCTCATGAAATCAATAGTAATCCGAAAACTGTAACTATAATAACGTGAGATTACTCATACCTTTTCATTGAAAGTTGCAAAGATTTTGGATTTGGGTCTAGGGGAAATGATAACTGTTTGTTAGCAGTAAATGCATGCAAATATAAAGAGTGACTTACTGTTTCACTGCCAGGTTTCCAACCAGCAGGGCAAACTGAAAAGAAAAGGACAAAGTTAGCCGAAGTATTTTTACACATGCTGACTTTTGTGCACTTAAACTTCTCTTTCTGACCTTGAAATAAAACACCACGCAAGTGTCATATGTAAATATCTGAAACTATTAAATGTACAGTGACACCAATCCCCACCTGAAAACTGCAGATCTCTGGATGGATAACTATGCCTTGCTTTGATTCTTCTGGTTTTCTAGACAAAGTACTGGCAAAGCAGTACCTGGGAATGAACACCTGTTCTAGTAGAAGTTTCTTAGTAAAATTCAGATGACTACAGAGGCTTACCCTTCTTTCTTTAAAACCAAACCTAGGGAAATCTTCTAAGCAAAGAGATCAGCTCAAAGATTTCCACAAGAGATCTTGTCTGGAGCCTTGCTTAGGTCTAAAGGGGTTGTAGCACACATTTACCACCCTGTGTGGCTGGGGGCCTTGTGACCACCTGTACAGCTGCACGTTCTGGAGGGAAGCTCTTACCTCTTCAGAGCTCTCCCCCTGAGGCTTCAGCCCAATGAGTTATGCCATATTACACTGCTTTAAGGCATGTTGACAGACAAAATGCCACCAATGCAGTTAGGAATTGTGGAGAACTGTTTTTCCTGTTCTGTGCAAAGAAACCAGTACGGCTGTCTAGGGAGTCTCCTCTCAGCATTCATGCAAAAGCTGGAAAAAATGTGGTACTCTGGAAACACGCTGCAGATCAATATTCTGTAAGATGGCTTTGCAGCTAAATGAGGGTAAATTTCCTTAGTCAAATGTGTGTAGCCTAAGTACCAGCATTTATCTTTTCAAATCTGTACAGCAAAGCATAATAATGATTTGTACCTTCATATAAAGGTACTTTCAAATGCTCAGTGAAATTGAGTTGAACTGGAAGTTAAGCTGCTGAACATGTGCATTCATATTTAAACAAATGTTCAAATAAAGGAATGTGTTTATTTAAACACATTATTTAAAGAAATGTGAAAAGTTCACGCTGTGCTTGAACTGGAGGAATATGAAGTCTTGAGACAAAGTAATGACCTGAAGCCAGTGAAAGCTGCTTTGTCGGGGAAGATGCTCACATAGCCCTTGTAAAGAAAACACAAGTAATGTGCTTTAACTTCCACAGTATCCCCATGTATCTTGACATGAAACACAGTTCCTTGTCACAGGTTCTCAGTGAATGGCACAGTACAAGGACAGCCTGCATCTCAATTATTTTAGTATCCGAAAGTGTACTGACATATTGGGCTTGATTCTTCACAGCCTCACATTTTGTACAAATTTATGCTTTTGACATATGGTACATAATGCCTTAATTCAGACTAAGGAATGCTTTATGCTCTGCATTCTCATGAATGTGAAGCAAAATGTGAATGACTGTTCCTAAGGAGATACTGGAACCCCAGAACCTTGTAGGAGGGCAATCAAAGCACTTCAGTCACGGCATGAGGCCAGTCACTTTCCTCCAGAAAGCTACAAATACAGCTGTCAGTCTAAGTAAAACTATCTTCAATGTTTAAAAGAGCACCTTCTCCATGTTTGTCTGTGTACTGGAATGCTTGTACCAAACGAAGTGTTTCATCCACTGATCTTCCAACAGGAAGGTCATTCATTGTGATCTGTCGAAGGATTCTCTTGTTGTCAATAATGAAAAGGCCTCTGTGAAAAAAATTTGTGTGTGTTAGGAAACAGAATTAACTATAGGGTTGTGTTTACGCACAATTTTATGTCTGCTGGATGGGAGGAATTTGATCTTTGCAAACACCATACAACACCCACTGCCTCAGAATACTGGTAACTTTTATTCCTTCCCTGGGTATCAGACGACCTGGGCTGAGGGTAAGTTAAAACCAGAAAAGGGTACTTCTCTGCAGAACATAAAATAAGCTTTGACAGGCCCTGCCAGGATGCTGCAGATGCTATGGAATTACAGGTACCCCAAAAGCAACTATTCTGTTTTATGAAAGATGTATCTCTAGGGGTTGGGAGGTAACTTGAGTCTTGACTCCACTTGGACATGGGAGGTCCTTGAGCAACTGCAGTTCTGTGGAATCCTGCATATTCGCCCTGCCCAAGGTATCTGCTGATGACTGCTGTTAAACAGGATATTAACCTTGACCCCTGTTCTGACTCATTATGACTTTTTTGTGTTCAATATTTACTTTGTCTCTTGGCAAGGATCCCCAAGTAAAGTCTGAACTCAAAGACAAATTTCAAATAAATATCAAATTTCAAAATAAAGCAGTAAGTACCACCCCAGCAAAAACCCAACAGAACCATAACCAAGTGAAATACCTAAGTGTATGTCCTTGATCTTCCAGATACACTCCATAATCCTTTGAAATCTGATGTGTCAAATCTGAAAGAAGGGGAATCTTCATTGGTCCGAGTCCTCCTTGTTTTCGAGGAGTATTAATCCTTTGAAAGAAATGAGATACAGATACATTTCTCGTAAAGGTTTACCTTCCCTACACAGAGCCAGAAGTCACAAACCAGAACAGTACAGACACGAGGATTTAGTGCAAGTGACATTTTTTTGTTCAGCATACAAAGGAGATGAACACTATTTCTGGTTCCAGCAAAACGTTCAGCAGATCTTTTGCAGGTTTTGGCCACATCTTTCCTGTCAGTTGCATTTGCTTTATGACACTGTGCTCACAAATTGGGACAGTGTGAAGCATTTACAGATATTTGCATTCTCTTTTTTTTTTTGTACTTGTATTAATTTTTGAACTGAGACATGATGTATTTCAAGCAATACAAATTAAACAAGCTTCAAAGATAAAGGTACTTTCACACACTAGGGTTAAAATTTTTTGATATTAAACATTTGTGTCAATAGCATCACACTTACACATATGATATACCTACACAGGCTAAAAATCTGGGGACTACTGTTACATAAGATGGATCCATGAATAACTTTTAGTGAAAGGGAAAAGTAAGGTACATACCATGCTAAGTGAGTGAATTTTGAGTCCACAGAACATGCTACTACTTCAGTATTTATTGCTCTGAATTCTTCAATTCTGTCACTGAAGGCGATTATCTCAGTTGGACAGACAAACGTACTGGAAAATTTAAGACAAGATAAAGTTAAAATTTCATGAAACATCCAGTAAGTTCTCTGCTTAACTTAAAATGGTGGATTTATCATAAATTATTTCAGCTTTTGCTTATTTTCATTGCTTCTTCAAGTATTTAACTAAAATGCTACCTGACAAATCTTCCACCCTCAGACTCTGGCTTAGTTACAAATGCTTTATTACTGAAGATTATAAATCTACAGTTATCTTACAAAGTAACTGTAAAAAACTCTGAATCCAGATTCTTTTAGATTTTATGAATATTAAGTGGCTGAATGTAAGCACAATAAGCCAATTTTTCAGAGAATGATACTATAATTTGTTGTTACTGTGCATGTCTGCAAGTTTTAATTATTTTGTCTTCAACTTTTTCCACTACAGAAGAAATACAGTGGTAAAGATTACCATTTATAGGGCTTTGAAGCTAATGATATTATAATGTTAAAGTAGTTATGCATCTCTGTCCTCTTCATTTTGTGGAAAAGAATGGGACTGTCTCTCAGAAAGCAGAGATGTTTTCACTCAATCAGTAAATTTACTGCATTCTGAATAAAGGAGATTAATAGTTGTTATGGGATGAGCTTAAAGGAAAAATGCCACCTCTTGGATACACTATATACACACTAGAAAATATAGATGGGATGCTGCCTTCTGTTTGCAGCAGTGATTTCCAACATCAAGCAGAACACAGAAGTTGCCTGAATGGGTTATGCGAAGTTGGTTTTTTTGTGTGGAGACACAAATTAGTGGACACACTTATTAGGACAAAGATTGTGTTACAATTTTACCAACGCATGATGGAAACACAAATGCAAAGAATATATTTTCTTCTGTCACTCCTTTCTTCTCTCCCAAATCCTTACCAAACAAAAATACAAGACCTCAAAAAAAGAGAAAAATTAATGAATTATGAATCAAGTGTAGCTGCACTCAGTCTTGGTATGTCTACTGTGGTTTTACTTACAAGTCAAGAGGATAGAAGAAGAAGACAAGATATTTTCCTTCATAATCTGTTAATTTCAGCTCTTTAAACTCTCCATTGATGACTGCTGTTCCCTCCCAGTAAGGTGCTGGCTTGGAGACTGAAATGCAAAGAATGTTCAATTAAAAGTTGGAATATGAAGCCCCTGTTCAAACCAAGCTGTCCAAGAACAGCTGTTCTTCCTTTGGCTTGAAAAACAACCTCCTGCACACAGTTACAAAACGAAGCTGCTTTGCTGCTCTAATCAGGGACACAGAATCATGAAGAAATGTAGGTTTTAGTACACATGGAAAGCAAATAATTTGACCAACTTGTGCTTATACATGAGCCCTGCGAATCACTGATAATCAAGGCCACACAAACCTTATCTGGGCACACTGAACAAACCACGTGTGCACCACCAGCTCAAGGCAGAGCAGCTGCTGGACTGAAGGGGAAGCCGATTAATATTTCAGGTACTCCCACTGTTCTGTTATGAATAGCTGTTGTGAACCAGAAGCATGAGATGGTTCAAATTCATACTTTTAGCTTTTAGCCATGGAAAACTATTTGAAATTCAAGTTCACAAAAAATGCTACAACATGTCTGGAGACAACTGCCTAAAAATGTAGTGTATATTTATTAAATTACAACTCCTAAGCAAATTATAACTTTAAGATAGTTGTTTCTTAAAAAAATCCAATTAAAATGCATGAAATATAGTTACTATTCCTATCAAAAGGGGTTAACCTTGAATTTAAAATATTAAAAATTAATCTGCCAGATACTATTTTCATAGCCATGTGAATTCCAAGACAAAGGGTATGCTGGAGTTACAAGGTCATCTGAATATACTTGTGATGTCATGGACATTGACGTGCAGCTCCATGAAATTTAGGGAAATGCTTCTGAGAAAAACATATGGAATCTTAATTATTATCTGGATAGCTCTCCTTAGGACAACCAACCCACACTGCAGAATATGGTCAGTGAGGATGTATAACAAAGACCTCCAGATAAGGAGGGAGAAGGAAAAGAAATTTAATACTTTTTATCTTGATCTCTTTCTATATTAAGGTGATTGTTTCTGCAGTTATAAATGCCTGTCTGTAATAACTTACATTGCAAAGGGAGGGAAACCCACACAGCATTGATTACAAGTATTTTTTTTGGTAGCATCTGCAAACGTTTAAAACAGAACTTATACTCTAGCTCAGAAAACTATCTTAAAGCTGTAAATTCTCACACTGAAGATAATTTCTGTGTGATCCCTCTATTCTCTGTTCTGCAGAATGGGACTTTTGGAAAGCAGGTGCCCCCTGAACATCTCCCTGCGACGCAATTTAAGGTGTTTGCACCCAGGTTTGCCACGAAGGCTTTAAATCACAAGAGAGCGCAGGTACGAGGTGCCCGTTCAGCGTTTCCAATCGCACCGGGAGCACGAAACACTTCTGTGCATTGCTGAAAGCGCTCCCCTTATCCCGCTCGCCATTTCTGGGAGCACGGGCCTCGCTGGACGCCCGCGAAACGCCGAACCCGCGGCCAGCCGGCTGGAAGGGGCTGGGGGGAGACAGGAGCTCACCGCCCTCCTTCCCTCCCTCGCTCCCCGCCCGGAGGCCGCAGCGGGGCCGCGGGGAAGGGCAGGGCAGGGCCGGGGAGCACTCGGGGCTCCGCCTGACGTGGCGCTGCCGCCGCCGCTCCCGCAGCGCGCTGCGGGCACATCCCCGCCCGGCCCCGCCGCCCCCCGCCCCCGGCCCCGCCCGGCACCTACTCTTGGCCTGGCTGAGGTGCAGCGAGTGGTCGGACACGGGCAGCCGGGCCGCCTCCCCGGGGTACACCTGCCCTCCCGCGTAGTAATGGCACTGCTCCTCGCCGCGCTGCCGCGCCGGGCGCGGCTCCTCCGGCCCCGCTTCGCCTCCCAGCGCCGCCGCCGCCGCCGCCAGCAGCAGCAGCAGGAGCCGCCCGGGGCTCCGGGCCCCGGCCCCGCCGCCCGCCTCCATGTCCCGCCGAGCGACTGCACGTCCGCGACGGGCGGCGAGGGGCGGCGGCGCCGGGGAGGAGCTTGGCCCGCCCGCCCGCACTGGAGCCCGCAGCACCGCCGGGCCCCCGCGCTGAGGGACCGCGGGCGGGGGGGACGAGCGGCCGGGGCAGCACCACCTCCGGACCGGGCACAGCCACCCACGGACACGGCACCTCCACCGTCTGACCGGGCACAGCCACCCTCTGACCGGGCACAGCCACACCCGGGCCCGGCACCTCCACCCTCTGACCGGGCACAGCCACCCCTGGACACGGCACCTCCACCCTCTGACCGGGCACAGCCACCCCCGGGCCCGGCACGGCCACCCTCCGACCGGGCACAGCCACCCTCTGACCGGGCACAGCCACACCTGGGCCCGACACGGCCACCCCCTCCTGTCAGTGCCCCCCGCTGACCCGGCAGAGCCGACCCCGGATTCGGCTCAGCCAGTCCCCGGCCTGGGTGTGCAGAGAAAAACATCAACACGCGTGTGTGGAGAGAGCGCGCACATGGTCCTGTGCGTGTGATTGCAAAAGGAAACTCTCTGCCGATATGAGAGGTTTCCCGCCTGGTATCGTCTCTCTTATCTGTGGCACCGCGGGTTCCGTGGGCACGGCATCACTCGCGGTCGTACCCATCTATGCCAAGTGCAGCCTCGTACGTTCTGGCCTCGTGAACACACAAAATGTGAAAAGGGCCCCCTGGCCCGAAATCTGAAATTGCTGTGAGTTGAATTGCTGCCAGCTGGGCGGCAACTCACACATGAGCTCCACGTGGCGCTCGTGGTGGCTGTGTCAGGAGTGTGGTTACACAGAAATGAAATACTAAGTGCCTCAATTCATAGAGTCATCAAATGGTTTGGGTTGGAAGGGATCTTTAAAGATAATGTATTCCAACAGCCCTGCAATGGCAGGGTCATTTTCAAGTAGCTCAGGTTGGTAGGTTGGTATGGTATGTATGTATGTATGTATATATGGTATGGTACCTGTGCCAGAATGAGCAGTGCAATTTTCTCTCTCTCTCTGGTTTTTTTTTTTTTTTTTTTTAATGATACGGAACAAGCACATAAAGAGCAGAGGCAAAAGGAAATGCTGTGGGCCATTTTTGATGAATACAAGCTCTGTAAAAGAAGAAGGGCATTAGGAAGGCACCTGTCATTATATGTTGTGTCTTGAACAAATCGTACTGTTTTTCTGGTTTCCTGCAAGAGAATCTGCTCTTATCTAAAAAGAGAGATATAAAAATATCTAAAAATATTTTTCACAAAATAAAGTCACAGGAGTGGGAGAAACATGATCTTGTGGGCATGCTTGCACTTCTTAACCTTGTGGTTTTAGTGTTCCTTGCTCCCAAAGCTCTGACTTCTATCCAGAAGGTGCTCCTTTTCTTTCCCATCTCGTTGTATTTGCCTTTAAGTTCCAGTCTAGGTTCTATAAGTTAGGGATCATGCCAGTCATATTCTTACTGTCACAATAATAATCTTCCTTGGCCATATTTGCCCATCTGAAGGGATTCAAGATTACTGAGGATCAGAAAGGTAAGGCTCTGGAACAACCCTCTGACAATTATGGGAGCAAAATACCTGCATAGTTATCAGGCTTGATCAGCATGTGTGAAATTGCAAAAAAACCTATTAAATGTCTGCCTACAGGCAAAATGGACTTGATGGCACATGAGATCCCCTTGTCCTGTTTTTTTCACACAGAGGTGGCTATTCTCTGGTTATACCTCCCAAAATGTTGGAAGGAGGATAAAACTTACTCTTTTCAGTGCTGCTGGTTGACTTCCCCCTCTCCCCCCCTCCTCATCAAGGGTTGGTCATTAAAAGGAGGATGAACAAAAAACATTTGCTCGTGTTGAGCACTCTGACTATGGTGGGAAACAGCACTTATACAATCTTTGTACTCCCACTGATTTCAGATTGAGATGAGCTTTACATTTAAGCTCACTAAAATGTGTTGATAGATTACTGTCTTACGCGATCCAACCCTAGCAGCACTGAATTTAATATCAAGCTTTCCTCAATCTCCCTGCTTGTAAGAAAAGTGACAGTCATTGCCTCTGTGAGTTCACAGAGAAAGTTAAATTGGTTGTCCCTGCTCTTTGTACTGCTGTTTTGGGCCATAGGAAATGGCAGTGATTTGAAAAGTAGTCACACAGTGAAGCTGAAAAAAAATGAGCAGTTCTGAAGTATGCACTTTGCATAACATTAACATCCCTCATTCAAAAGATACTCCTAAATACCTATAAATGAGAGAGAAAACCAGTAAAATCAATGCAGTAAAAATAGAAAAAGAGAAGTCCTCTTGTGAGCAGAAAAAAATCCTGAAGGACAAAAATGAGTTTTTATCTGCAGAATGTAATGTTAGTTTAATAGCACTAATTTGAGGTTCATATGGAATTAAGTATATACAGACACGGAACAGAGTTCAAAAGAGCAACAAGAAAGACTTTCTCGCTGCTGCTGTACACTCAAGACTTCTGCAAGTGATTAAAAAATGAAAAATTTCATAAATGAAATCTAAGATGAAATCCAAATATATATCACTCTGTCTAAATGGAGAAGACAGGCAGCCTTCTTTCTTTGCCCAGTGATGAAATACTTGAACTGAATGCTGATTTTGGTGTTTAAATTGATGAAATTAAGTGATGCCATTAAAGTGTGATAAGAGAAACACTGGGCTACATTCATTCTGCTGTACAGCTCTTCTGAAGTTGGTCGGGCTTACCATGGACAAAGGGAAATCTCTTAAATCCTTCCTTTCCTCCCCTGCCCTACAGGCTGTGTTCCTGCATGTTATGCCGTATCCAAGCCCACAAGGATGGATCAGTTTTGGCAAAGGGCCTGATGGAGGCAGGGTGTCATTGCCGCTAAAGCAGTTTAGAAATGGTTACGGAGGCTTTGTCTGGTTTTGCTTGTAGTAACAAAACACCTCATTGTAATTTAAATGGCCTAATATAACAATATCTCAGAAAAATTAGTGTAGTATATTGTAGCAAGATACCTGTCACCATTTACTGGAACAGATGTTCAATATTGTGCTGGTGAAACTAGCAGTTAGTTTTATCCTCATAGTTTACGGGGACATTTTAACAAATATATTGCACTGCTTGTCATGCATGACAGAAAATCTATAACATAAGAAACTTTGCTGGAGAAAGCCTCTGTTTTGTAAGCAAGATTGGATCAGAATGACCATAATTAAAATTACCCATTAGGGAAGTCTTCTCCTCTTTGGCTTTCGCCAAGGCTACACTGGTGGGGTCAGCTGTGTGTGTGCACTGACTGCAAAGGTTGAGAAGTGCTGGGTGGTGCCATTTGCTTTGACAGGAACTTCATCCTGACTTCTGACTGCTGCTAATGTCAGCCAGTGGAAGCAGTACAGCTGAGTCAAGATAAACACAGACTTTGTAAAATCTGCCACTTCGTAGCGTAGAGGTAGCATAGATATATTTATTCCTATAACACCTTTGGGGAATGCACTATGGAGATGAATTCATGTTTTTCCTCTGCAAACACACCTGCCATAGAAAAGTTCTGCTTCATTTCTTCCCTTCCTCCTCCACCTGGCTCTGCTTCTTGTGGCATTGGTGTCAGAAACACTGCAGGGCCTGTGTGATAGGAACAGAACAGAGCATGTTACTGATGTGTTTGACTGAGCATGGCAAAAAAGGGTGGTTGATACTGCTATTCACTGGGTGATGGGGGAGTGTGGTTTCCAAAGCACTTCCTGTTTTAAGCTTTCTTCTGCTTCTGTAAATGCTGGCAGAATCTATGAGTTTGTGAATATAAACAAACATTGTGAGAGCACCTTCTTGACTTGATAAATCATGTAGTCCTCTCAGGGTCCCATCAGTTTTCCTTTACCTGTCACCTGGGGAGGGAGGGAGAGTGGTGTTCAACTGTGTTTATGTTCTATCCCATTTTTTTCTTCCTGTAACAAGCATGTATTCAAAGAAAGTGCCCAAAAACGTCTCTGTGCATTAGCACATTTTTTGGACAGTTGTACTGACAAGTGAGGACAGAGAAAGTCAGCTCTGAACACCACCTGTTAGACATATGCTGTCCTCTGCAAGTCAGCGAACTGTGAAGGACAGTTGAGGTATTGCACCAGAAAACCAATGCTGGATATCTGGACCTAGCCTTGGCAGCATGCTGATCATGTGCCCTGAGACCATCACAGCTAGGAGCTTGCTATCCAAAATGACCCTTCTAGCTTTGTCTGGTGTTGCTGACCAAGAGAGATCTTCTCCCACAGAGCAGTAACCCCACTGTGCCAAGTGTAGTGATCTCCATCAGTGACGTTCACAGGGGTTCACAGGCTCCTGCCCTTGGGGTCCCACCCGTGGTTCTGCCTTCTCAGATCTGAACTGAGACTAGCAAACTCCGGTCCAAATCTTGAACTCAGTCAGCCTTTGGGAAAAGATGGAAAATTTGTCACCTCTGCTCAGATGAAAAGCAGAGCTGTGTCCTGCCCTCGCAGGTGCCTGAACCTCATGGATGGAAAGAAGCCCTGTGGCAACCCATTTTCATATTTTCTCAAACCAGAATGCAGACAGATGGTGCTGATGATTATTGGTGACTACCTGTCTTGCATTTGGGCAGAGACCGAAAATGGACTATATGGCTGTTGTCAAGTAAATACACCCTACTGTCTGAAGCGTGTGTGATCCCATCAGGATCTGTGGAGGAGAGAAGGCTGCATTCCCAGGATAGTGGGATGACATGGTCTTAAAAAATTTCCAACTCCCCTCCTTATGCTGGACTGCCTGCCCCTCTTCAGTATTACCTTGCAAAGCTTTTTATATTATCCATTTTCTAGCTGTGTTACATACCTAAACTTGCCTTTCTTTTCTATTTGGACTTACGAAAGAGAAAAATGGCTTTTGGTGAAAAATACTCATGCAGCTTGATGTGTTAGTTGCTTTTACATTGCTCACTAGATGGCAGTAAGATGCTTGTTATACTAATTAAAAAAATTGAAGTAATGTATTCTCCAAG